AGTTTCTATAAAACACTTTTCTCTGCTATTTTGGATATAATTTTTCATTTTTAAAAATAATGTTTCATCTTTTTAGGGTTGCCTAGTCCATTTGGACCACGTCCCTCAACTCTCTGTCCTCAGCAACAATTTGCAGTTCAGTAACCCATTTAAATTTGCTTTCTTTTGTAAAAACCTGAATTTGAGCTATTAAATAGCTCCCAGCTTAGTTTTTATTCTGGAAAAGTGATTTTAAGTGGATATAAATTGCAGTTGAAATAGCAGGCTACTTGGAAACAGTTCACTACTCTCATTTTCCTCAAATAGCCCCTCACTGTTTCTTCATTCTCTTTCCAAATCCACTCTATTTATAGTCTGATCCTCACAAGGCATGTTAAATATAAATATTATATACATTGTTATAAGTGTTACAAAGTTTCCTAATTTAATGCAATTTCAGATTTATGTGGCAAATGGTCCCCAGATTTGACACAATCATCATAAAGGCTCAGCTAACCGACCATATTGCAGCTTGGACAAGTAGTAATGACAATCAAACTGGAGAGGCTAATTTCTTTAATATTTTGAACAATAACATGGTTAAAATGTGGTATATGTAATTTTTAATGTTTAAATGTGGTTACTATTGATGTTTGGGTTGGAGAGGGATGTTTCAGTGTGCATTTTTTTTTTCTTCTAGGGGAGAGCTTTTATAACAAGTCCTTTGTGTGTGGACAGGAGTGAGAGCCTGCCCATATAAGCAAATTCTGTAGAAGGGGGAGGTTGGTAGTGTAATATGAGAAGTTTTGGAAGTGGAGTGGAAGAGAAAATGTAATTGTATTTAAACATTTTTTTTTGTAATGAGAGGTAGGTGAAAGTCTTTCTTGGATGTGGATAGATTAAGCATTTACACTGATGTAATCAGCATTGTATTGGTGTAAACAAGTGAACAGATGATATAGTTCTGTACCAGTGGCGCTCAACCTTTTGGCCATGCAGGTCAAACAAATGGTTTAAAGCCAGTCCGTAGGCTGGATCTGACCCAGGGTAGCATATAGCCTTTATCTGGACCCACATGCCAGGATTGAGGCTTAGGGGCCTATACTGCATCTTCCCAGTTCTTCATGCCAGGATTGGTCCCTGGGAGAGTTGTGTTGTTGCCTCTGGCCCCACATGTCAGGATTGGGGCCCCATGCCACTTCAACCCCATAGGCCAGGATTGGGGCCTTGCATACATTCTGCCTGACTCTGCATGTGGGGATTGGGGTTCCAGGGTCCTGCACACCCTTCATCCGGCCCCACATTCCAGGATCAGGGCCTGGGAGCCCTGGATCCCCTCTGTCAAGCCCTGTATATGGTGATTGTGCCCCTGGGCCCCCATTCTGCCTTTGCCCAGCCCCACGTGCTGAGATGGAACTCTAGGCTGCCCTGCGTGCCAGATGACATGGTGCCAGGAGTTGGATCTGGTCTGTGGGCTGAGGCTTGATCACCCTTGCTGCTAACAGTAACTTTGCCCCGTCTAGTGGCGGTTTACCCCAGAAAATATCAGAGGTAAAAAAACCTACCAGTGTAAATTGCACTGGATTAGGTTTCATGTGTCCGTTTCCATTCTAGGGTAGCGACTTGCTAAAAGCATGCAGGATATTGTTAGCTGCTCCACTGCCACCTATTGACAAGGCACTGTAATAGTGCCTATTATCCTAGGACAGCTTGAGTGTCTGACCTTCCTGCTGTTAGTGTAAATGATATCAGTATACAAACCTGACATAAATTGCACAGGATTAAGTGAACATCTGTCCACCCTTTTGGAGAAATTTTGTGGAGTGGGTGTTGAGAATCAGATGAGTGTGACTTTTGAATGTTTTGGGGTAGGGAGGAAGGAATGAGATGGGTGTCGGGGGAACATATATCTGTTGTTTACTGCAGTGCTGATGACGTTTCCAATTTAACAGCAAATAAGACATAGGTCTTACAGAAACGTCAGTCACTGAACAACATCCATTCTGTACACTGAAAGAGGTTAGGGATTCTGTGGAAAAATAATATTTAATTGTTTTATTCAGGGGCAGCTTGTAGGGTGGATCTGCCCGACAGAACCACTCTTTCTGGCCTGCTGGCATGTGGTGGCAGCAGCTCTGACATGGGGTGTGTGGTGGTGGTGGCAACTCTGGCTCCAACCCAGATTCTGGGTCTGCCACCTCCATATACTCCAGGTCAGAGTTGGGGCTGCTGCCGCCTCCATGTGCTCATGCGCCATGTTGGATCTGGTTCACAAGGAGCCCTGCAGTCTGGATTTGGTCTGGGACATAAAGTTGAGTTTGAACACCTCTGATTTAATTAAAGGTATAATGCATACGTACATTGGAAGAGAATTAAAATTGCATGGGTAGCTTGAATCCCAGCATTTCATGACTTCTGAGTACCTGACTTCTCAACCTGATAATAATCTTTAATAGACTTTATAATATAATATGTAATTTCTGATTTGAATGGTGTAATTTTATATTTAGGTATTTATCACATTTTGAACAATAATTTTATTCTTTATCTGTTTTTTTTCAGTTTGTCTGGGCATTCTTTTTTATAGTGAGAAACACACTATATAAAATTCTGCTTACAAGTAGGCTAGAAGGTTTTTCCCCCCTGGTGAAGTGTTTGTGTGTTTGAACTTTGAAACATTTTTTTTAAAGTGAGGTAGTCACTGAAGAGTGCTTTAAGATTCTAATTGTTATTGAATATGATGAATGGTGATTTTTCTGTTTAGTTGTTATATGCACCTAGATTTTGATGCTATATAGGTCTTATAGGAAACATGTAACAAATAGTGCAGAACCTAAGCTTTTGATGGCTTTGTCCATTGGTTTGATTTTTGAGTAAAGAAATAGTTACTGAAACTTTTGTGAATTTGAGACAGTGAGCATTCCTTATAGATAGGGGTCTACCAAACTTAAGGTTAAACTTAAGCCAATTTTACAGGTAGACTGTGGGGCTGGTGGCCATTTTCACGGGTGAGCTCCCCTACACCTCTGGCCTGGGAGCCCCACCCCTCACCACTGACTGGGTGCGAGGACTGTCTGTCATGCATCCCTGCCCTTTACTACTGATTGGTGAAGGGCAGGGCTGTATGATGGACAGTGCTCATAGCCAATCGGGGTGGGGGGCAGCAACCATCTTGCCATCCTGGCAGTCCCTGTCCCCTTTTCCCGCTTCCCTGGTGGGCTGTGCAGCCAGGCCGTAGGAGGAGCCAGCATTTTATTTTCAGTAAGCTTTTTTTTTTTTTTTTTTTAAGGATCCTGCCAAAAAGTGCAGAGCCTATGCTTTTTTGTGGAGCCTGCCTGAAATGGCGGTTTCTGTGAAAATGGCAAAATCACAATTTTGGTAGGTACCTACTTATAGCTTATTTCTGTAGGGCTTATCTATTATTTTATACTGCTTTATGCAGTATAATCAATGCGTAATTTTGATAATGGTACGTCTAGAGCTTGATTTATTTAAAAAAATGTTTGTACTTTTAAGTTACTAGGTAAAATTCCAGATTCAGTATTAATATTGATTTTTGTCCTTGACATGATGCTAACTCAGGGGTGGGCAATTATTTGGGCTGGAAGGCCACTTAAGAAGTTTTGGTGAGCTGCTAAAGGGGGAGGGGGCAATTGATCCTGTCTGGACCACTGGCTGCTGCCAGGAGCCTAAGAAGGGCAGCCGGGGCTGGGCCAGGCCATGCAGCACATAGACTCCTCTGACCCCCGCCCCATTAATTTCCTTCCCACCCCCTCTCTCCCAAACTAGCTTCCTGTTGGTGCTGTGGCTGTGCAGTCCTGATGTGGCCACCAGCAGCTGGGCCCAGACAGGATGCAGAGTGACACAGCATGCCAAGTAGCCATCCTGCCTGTCTGCCTGCTGCAGTGTGCCACTGCTGCCCCAGACTGAGTCTCTCCCTTTCCGCCCACAGCCAGCATGGATCAGTGGTGCCATGGTGGTAGTGGCTCATTTGCAGTGGGTAGGCAGGCAAGATGGCTACTTAATGCACTCCATCCCATGCAGGCCCAGCTGCCGGTGGCTGTGGTGCCAGGACTGTGCATAGCTGCAGTGCCAACAGGAAGCTGTGCTAAGGAGGGCATGGTGGGGGGGTATGGGTGATGGAGGGGTTAAAGAAACTAAGGAGCTACTTAGCTTGCAATGACCAACGTATATTTTGGTGTTATTTACAGTACAGTCTTGTGAAGTGGACAGAACACTTGGAACTAGAACTTCAGCTACTGGGGCAGTTTTACCATGGTGGCACAGTATTTATCCTCAGTACTGCTGTCTTGCACCATTTTCCTCAGACTACAACTACCACTTCCAGAAAGTGTCTTTTTGACCATGGTTAACTAAGTACCTCTGTTGTTGCCCTTACTTCATTTATCACTTCAGTTCGATAACTGTTATCAGCTTATACTCAGGTTTAAGTGCCAAATTGAAGTGCCATTTAAAGATAGTTAATAGCAAAAGGGTGTCAAGGAGGCAATATTTTATCAGGGTATGTAGTAGTAGTTGACTGCTATTACAGAATAATCTGGAATCAGAAGATAGGTCTTTAAGCTTGCACGAATATGGCTTGCCTTAAAATCATATGGTAATCAGTTTATAAGAAGGAATTATGCTTTATTTGCATTCCTCTGTCCTGTCCTAAGACTAATAGCTATATTTAGAATTTGGCTTGTTACATACACATGTTCAGAAACTACTGGTAATTACCATAATAGCCATGAGACCTTACATTATGCTAAGAGTCATTTTATACATGGACTTGAAACCACCGCAGGCTTTCATTATGATTGTTGTAAGCATTACTTGGTGAAGAATGCAACTAGCTTATACTGAGAAAATTTTTATTTACAGTGATTTTTTTCTCTCTCTTGTAATTAGAATCTTCCTGTAATCTTGTGCAAATTATCAATAACTACTTTTAGCAAAGCAAGTAAATAATTACATATCTCATATATTTATTTGATTACATTTTCTTTTCTGTGCTCTAGGATACCAGATGGTCCCATTGAACAGGGGCCTGCTGCAGGAAAGGTACATGCTTTAGAAGAGCAGCTTTTAAAGGCCAAAGAACAGATAGAAAACTATAAGAAGAGAACAGGAGATGGTTGGTAGATATGTTTTCTTTTATTTCTAAAACTGGTACACCATCCTGTAACTATTTCAATATATTCATATATCACTTCACTGGTAATGCTGACACTTCTGTGCTTTTGATAGGAGGCTTGGGGAAAGACCATGAAATATTGAGAAGACGAATTGAAAATGGAGCCAAGGAGCTTTGGTTTTTTCTCCAGAGTGAATTGAAGAAGTTTAAAAATTTGGAAGGAAATGAACTCCAAAGACGTATTGATGAATTTCTATCTGATTTGGGTCATCAAGAAAGGTACCAGTATTTTGGTGCTATTGCATTTTTATTGCACAAAAGATCACAAAATGATTAGAATAAAAATGTGAAATGTGTTAGATTTCCAATTTAGGGCAAGTTAGCAGCACTCTGTATTACAATATGATTGGGACATGGTCAGCAAATTGTGTTGAGGGGTATTGAACATGGGACAGAGTAAACACAGGGTGGACACTATATGGTTTGATATTAAGTTTTTTTTGTGGGTGATATCGTCTAATGTATCAGCTGCATGATTAGGATAGTTTTAGATAAGCTTTTGGATTTAGGGCTTTCTTTTTCAGGTCATCCAGTTCTTTGGTCTGATATTTTAACTCTTAATCTACTAGTAGGGAATATCTCGCATGTGGGTTCAAGAATATGTGTGCCCATCAGTATTATGTAAAAATATGGGAAGGGTATACACATATATAGAATCAGAAGAGCAGGGCTAGAAGGGACATAAGCAGTTAATTTAGTTTAACCCCCTGCTCAAGGCAGGATCATCCTTGTCTTTAGAAATGTACTGAGTTAAGTTATGAAAGGAGCATATTGCAGGAGCCAGCTTGCACAAGGTTCACCAGCGTGGCTGACACCATTTGCTGAATCTTTGATCTGCCACTATGCTATTGAATTTTCATTTTTTTGGCCTTGAAAGATGCCTTGTTCAAATTGGGCAAGGAGAAGAAAACAAATGTCCTCAGCAGCTCTGCGTGTTTGGCTGAATTTTACCCAGGGCCTGGAATGTGAATGTAATGTGTCATTTTTCTTTCCTCACCTTATTTTAACTCTTTACTAGCTTTTTCTTTTAGCTCTCTTTCAAGTAAGAGTCTGACTTAGCTGGCCAAGCTCATCTTTTACAATCTACAAACTCATCTTTTACAATAGTGCTGTAATGAAAAAGCCAAATAATAAAAAATATTTTCACCCTAACCTGATAAACAATTTCCATACGTAATCATCAAGCAGCTAAGCTGAAAGTGATAGAGTGGAAGCAACACTTTTATTCTGTCTCTTTCTCTGTTTCGTGTGTCTGTCTTGTTTTGTTTTGTTTTTAAAAGAAACAGGAGAGAAATGCTACAACAGATCAAAAGTAACAGTCTTAAAATAGCATTCTTGTTTTCTAACGACAGTATGTAATAATATATACAAGTCTTCTGAGCATGGGCTTCTCCCGTATGAAAGACTTTTCAGATGATTTAATTTTTGCTTTTTTGCTGTATTTTTAATAAAAGATTAAAAAAAAAAGTTACTGACACGTTGACATTAAGCCAACAATAAATTAGATACAAAACTTTGAACTACAACTATAATGTAACAATTAACAACAGTTCTAAAACCTCTAAACCTTTGTTGAGGCCCGGATTCCTGTGCTTTCATGCTAGTGGCACCTGTGCAGACCTTGAAGAATTTTCTTGCTGTCCAGGTCTCCATGCCTTTCATTTCTTTAGGCATTTCCAGCTGATAGAACATGGACAGGCTGAGTATAAGAATGATAAGTGTAATTGGGAGAGAGAAGCTGGCAACATTTTTTTACCAGGTCTGCACATGTGGTTGGACCACAATTGGACCTTGGTTCTTTTTTAGAGAATTCTACATACAAGGTATTTTCAGAAGCTTTTTCACAGCTAATTTTGAATTAAGACAGTTCCAGGCACCTACAAGAGATACAAGAGAGAAATATTTGAACCACAAATCTCTATGCTCTAAAACTGCCAAGCTCTTGCTTTATTTGATGAATCAGATGATGCATTTTTTTGGAAAGCTCTTTATGTATTTCCCCAATTTGAAAGACACTTCTAAAGTGCAAATGGCAGTATTTAAGCTCTCATTTTAAGTTCTGACTTTTATCTGTTGGATTTTTTTTCAGAAGGGGTTGCAGAAAATGCTGAGTTTGAGAGGCAGTGTTTCACTGAGTTGATTTGTGATACAGTTAAGTAACTTCAAATTTGTGCTTCAGGACCTCCAGGTTTAAAAAGAATATTAATTCACAACTACATGTGTAAAGCACTTTGAGATTTTAGGATGAAAAGCACTATGTAATTATAATAAGTGACACGCAAGTGCTAGTTCAAGATAAATCTTTATTTACTGATACAAATTTGAATTACAAGATGTTTAAAGGTACTCTTATTGGATAGCTGGAATAAATATCAAGTATGATCCTTGTGGCTAATGTTATTTTTTCCCCAATTTTCAAAAATCTAATGCAGGTGAAACATAGAGTCATATTCTATGTTTTCTTCTGGATGTTAGTTTATACCAGGGCTGAATGCAGCTCACATCTGAGCTGAAATATCAGGCCACAGTAATAACAGCAAACTACTGTATTCAATTAATAACACACATTTAATTAGAGAAATCTTGGATTGAGGCCATGAGTATAGTTTCTGAACTCCCTCTGAAAGACTACTTTGTCTCTTATTAGATATTATCGATAACTACTATGTCAGAACCTTTGTGGTTTTCTGGTTGTAATCAAAATGATTTTTCTTACAGTTGACTCTTTAGTGACTACTGTTGACCTGGAGCCTGTGGTTGCTAATTTTGAGGTGAAATCTTGGTTCTGCTGAAGTCATTGGGAGTTTTTCCTTTGACTTTCATGAGAACAGGATTTCCCACTTTATATTTTTTTATTATCTGTGTCTGAGAATTGTTGGGACCCAGAGTCTTCTGGGCCCAGCTCAATAGTACCGGTGCTTAGCAGGAGAAATTATAGGGATGCTCATAAGGACGCAACAGCATGCAAAGGCTTTGAACTGCATAGCAGACTAATCCTAAATTATCCTAAATTATTCAGGATCCTATATCCTGAGCTAGCTTTCATTACTCAGGGAAGAGACCTTGGAGACATTGTAGATAATTTTCTAAAAGCATCAGCTCAATGTGCAGTAGCAACCGAAAAAGCCAATAAAAAGTTGGGCATCATTAAGAATTACATTGAAAACAAAACTGAAAACATTATCATGCTGCCCCAGCCCCACTCCCTCCCTCACTGCAGGGACATCGATCTGCCTGCCCCCACCCTTTCCCTTGCCCCTTCCCCCAGAACAGACTTACCAGCTGGACACTGCTCTCCAGTGGACGAGGCTCAGCGTAGCAGCACAACACACGTGGTGTCGGGCTGTTCCCAGGCGGGCTGCAGCCGGGCTTGGGGCACAAAGCCCAGCCTGCAATGGCAGCTGCCTCTGCCACGCACAGATGGGGGGGGCACATACTCCTTCCCAAACGTGGGGCAGCATGGGTGGCTGCAACAGCTGTGAGGGAGGAAGGGAGTGGGGCTGGAGCATGGGCCGGCCCTGCACAACTGGGGCACATGGTAGATCTTGCATTGCTTTTAAATGCCGAAGGTGATCTCCTACTTAAAAATGTTGGAGACCTTTGCTGTAAGTTATGTCCATAATTTCAGTTTGTGTCTTAACCTGTAGGTTGATTCATTCCTTTGAGTTAATTCCAGGTTTCTGTAGACTGAAAATGTGCTGAATTGGTTTGTACTTTTCGTATATTTTCTACATGAAAATTAGAAATATAGTTCTTTTTTGAATATTTATCCATGTGTGTTTTTCACACTTCTGTCATGTGTGCTGTATGTGCAAAGATTGAAGATTTTGCTAGCTCTGTATGTTAGTTCATAAATGCATCCTAATTATTCCTGTGCCTAAGGTTCTCTGCTGTCCATAAATTTATGGACAGTCTGTTTAAAAAAACAAAACAATACAAAACAAAACTGTCCTCCAAAAAAAAATCCCCTAAGAAACCATAGGCTTGATTGAAGACCTGTCACCAGAATGAGGCTGGGGGTGTTCAGGGGTGTTCAGGGCCCTGCTCTAATTAATGGTGCTTTATATAAAGCACCTGGCCAGCAGGCAGGGGCACTCCAGCAGCCTCTAAGGAGGCTACTGAACTACCCCTCTCCCTAGCCTCCTCCCCCCCGCCCAGCTCTGTGGCTGTCACTGGGGGAGGGTGGTGGAGGGACAGTGGCAGCATGCACAACTGTTTTGAATAGCCTGCGCTGAGAGGGCAGCGAGGTGGAACAAATCTCTTTGCCTTGAAGGCCCAGCTCAGCTCTCCCCAATACCCCAGCCAGGGTAGCGGGATGGGGAGGGGGGGCTGTGAGGCAAGGGGGCTCTGTTCCACCCCACAGCCCCTTGAGACCTGGCCATCCAAAACATCTGCTAACTTCTGCTGCTGCTCCCCCTCCCTTACCCACCCCACTGACAGCCCTGGGGGCAGGGTTGAGCTGCTGCTTACCAGTGCAAGCATCAGCCCAGCCCTGCTCTCATGCAAAAAATTAACTTTGGATGGAACACATGTTCCCTAAGATGTTCTGTTTTAGAGCACTTTAATCTAATACTTCATTTGACCAGGGTTAATTGTTCCTGTGATCAGGCATTTTAACACACATGCACAGCTGCAGGGGCCCGATCATGCATAAAATGTAACTTGTACAAGCACCTTGGGGCCCGATCATGCATAAAATGTAACTTGTACAAGCACCTTGGATGCAAGCATTGATGAACAGGCAGAGCAGAATGCTGCCACCTTGTGTCCGAGTGGGAGTGCATTTCAGTACCCTACAAGGAGCTCTCCATCTGGTCTTTGTGACCCACTAGAGCCTTCTCAGCCCCATGCCCTTCCCCAGCCATGTGATGCGCTGTGTACTATCAGCAGTCACCTGCGTGTAATGCTTGTTTCAAAGTTAGGCAGAGCTTTGTGGCCAAAGGCAGTCTGAAGCACTGCATGGGATGTATGTAAAAACATGTCAGTAAAAAAATTGTCAGTAAAAAAAAATGCAGATTGTCATTAATAGTTTCATAGTTTCATAGTAGCTAGGGTCAGGAGGGACCTGAACAGATCATCTAGCCTGACCCCCTGCCACAGGCAGGAATGAATGCTGAGTTCACAAGACCCCAGACAGGTGATCGTCCAACTTCCTCTTGAATATGCCCAAGGTAGGGGCAAGGACCACTTCCCTGGGAAGCTGGTTCCAGATTTTGGCC